TTTAATTTTTAAAAAGTCTATTTGGAAGAAAATTGTCATTAACTCTGTAAGAGCTGAAACTGCAGCCTCATAATGAGATAATAGGCTAGATCGTTTAGTGCTGGGAAGCTCTTCCACTAGGTTCCACTAGCCATTTCTATTGTACTACTGGCATGACTTGTCAGCATTTGTTAGTGTTTGTATGCATTCCTGCAGTGTTGATGGATGTGTTTATCAGAAAGGGATAAAATAGGTTATAAGGCATTCATTTTTATTTTGGGTTATACAGAAGCTAATAGAAAAGTGATGTAGATGCAGCAACACACACACACACACACACACACTCACCCTCTTCCCTTCCCGAGAATAGCTGTTTTGCTCAGATCAAGAAGAATTACTGAAGAGGCCTTTGATAAATTGAAAGTGTCTTTGCACTCTATTCCAGTTGGTTTATATAGACTCGTATTTCTGCCCTAGTTGGCATTTTCAAATTGTCTTGGCAATTTTTTGAAGCGTTTGTTTCAGTAACTAGAAATAACTGACCGCATAAAAAAGTGAGGTTTGCATGTAGCTTAGCTTTTAGTTTTACCTACTCTTGCTTAGCTCTTGACCCTGCAAATCAGTATATTGTGTAAAATTCTGCCCATGTTTGTGTGACTTGGACGCTTTCTGTTTACCTGAGATGATAAACTCAGAGAAATATTTTGGCTTACTGTGTTCAAATTGTAATCAACATTTTCTTTAAAGACACTGCTAAAGAGCCCTACTTGTGGTAAAGTTGTTCCAGCCAGATGTCTGAAAAGTCTGAATAGCTCAGTTGTCAAGACGCAAGGGGTTAAACAAACTCCATTTTACTTGCCTTTTCTCGTCTCTGCACTGCCACCCCACCTCCAAGTCTATGATCATCAAGATTGATCATCTCCGCCAATCCAATGCTTTCTCATATGAAAAAATTGGGAGGCTAGTGCGTATGCGTAACAAAACCTCATACTACCCCTGTTAGATGGACTCTGAGACCATATGATTGAAAATATAGTTTAATTTGACTATCTGGACAGAAGCTCCTGCAGAATGAAAATGTACATTTCGTATTTAAAATGAGATGGGCATTGAGATTAAGTGGTCGTGGGTGTCTATAGTGTCAATTTAAATAAGGAGGAAATAATATAAATATTGTTAAATCTCTCATCTGTGTGCTTTCTCAATGCTGACTGCCAGGTGCAAAGCACAGAGCTTATAACAATGACTGACAGGTAGCTAAGATGGAGTCACCCAGTTGCAGGATAAAAAGGTGTAGATTGCTACATTTTCCATGTGTTCTTAATGGATATTGCCTGAATACTGTGATAAACATAATATTAAAAATCAAACTATTTGCCAGTTCCTCTTTTTAGGTACAGAAGACGTGTATTTCTTGTAAAAAAAAAATATATATATATATATATATATATATATATATATATATATATATAAATATAAAAAATTTTTTTTTTTTTAATTTGTCCGCTTCAGAGGAGCCCGGGCAGTTACTAATTTCCTCTGGGCTAACAGGAGATTGCTCAAAGATCAATTCAGATGTGTCAGAAATTAGCTGTTCTCACAGCCTGTAGATGGTGATATCTTTCAATGCGTGAATGTGTGTATTAATTCACAACTTCATATTGGAAGGCTGCCAGGAGGCAGTGTTGAACGCTGTTGCACCCTTACCTTAGAAGCTAATTTAGCCAGAGGCTTGCCCATAGCAGACAGACTGTTTGAGGGAGAATATTGCTTTACTCAACGAGTACAAAGTTATGATTGGAAAATGTTCCCACATCTTTTTAAAGCTTAAGTGTCCCTTTTTGTGCCTGCTGACATTTGTATTTAAATCTCTACACCATTTTAAAATGTCTACAAAACTTCTGCAATTTTAAAAGGTCTTGATGACATGTATGTACAAGAGTCATACCATTGGATAGTTATGTCCATTTAAGCCTTTTCATTCTCATTTTTGAAACCATCTAATTGTAACATACAGATAAAATTGGTAACTCCTCTCTCACATGGTAAGGACTTTCTCTAAAAGCAGACAGCTATATAACTACCACAATATCTCTCAGTAACTGGGATATTTTCAGGACTACCGTAGAAAGCTATGTGACTATCATGATTGGTTGATTGTAGCTAATGGTCCTGTGTAATGAACTAGTTCTTTCATATTTTGTTTTTCTTCTTTTGAATGCAGTAGAAGGGGTTCAACATTATTGTGCATTATCTATTTACTTTTGTTCCTTTTTAAAATGTATTTATTTTTAATGTGTTTGCATCTGTAAGTGGGACATTTAAACATGAGAATGCTGGTCTGGCATATTAAAAAGATTAAGAACGTTATGCACCTTTTTGTTTTTATACCCACTTCTGTTTAAGAACAGTTTGACAACTTACCTGGGGTCTGACGGGATAGGGGCTGTAGTGTGTGTGTGTGTACAGGGGTGCATTGTGTTTGTGAATGATGTAGTTTGTGTGTACAAAGGTGCAGTGTGGGGGGCAGTTTGTGCATGAGGGCTATAGTCTGTGTGTGAGTGGTACAGTGTGTGGGTGGGGCAGGAGAACAAATAATATATATTTTTTAAATTAAAAATAAAAATGTCACATCATGATGTTTCCCTGCTTATCTTTGCCTGAGAGGGGGGACATTTCCTGCAGTTCCTGGTGTTCTGGTGGGGAAGCCTTGGCGGTCCTAGTGGTGACAGTGAACTTTAGCAGCCTCAGTAGCTGCTAGGGTTCACTCTCGCGATTCACAGCATTGCTGTAGTAACCACAGCAACGCTCAGAGCACACGAGATGAGAACCCGGCAGAGCTGCAGGTTAGAACTCACCCAGGTCCTCTCTCCCTCCCTCCCTCCCTCAGTGTCGGCTCTCAGCAAAGTGCTAGCAGGCCGGAGAGGGGGATCTCTGATCTCCCTTCCGGTCCTGCAGAGCCATCAGGGGAGAGCAAAGTTCCCGGTGCTATGAAAATAACTCGCGGCTCCCCTGTGTGCCTGTCGCGGCGCCACACACTTTGGGGACCACTGGTTTAGATAGTTTTTTAAGAGAAAACACAAATACCTATAAATGTATAATTTGTTGCAAATTTTAATCTTCTACTATGATCAGAGATGTGAGTTCTCACCCAAACATGTCTTTACAACATTTTTAAAGGGTGGGAAATGCGATGTTATTTATTATGAGGAATTGAAAGTTGGGATATTGCAAAATTGCTCTTAGAGAATGCCAAGGCAGTAGGAATTTTCTATCCGCATGTCTCAAAAACAATCCAAAAAAAACTGATTTACCATAGAAATGATTTCTGGAGTCAGACAACGGATTTCTGGCATTAACGTTCGGCTAATCCCATCCATCCATCCATCCTGTGTGGCAGAATTGCTCATAACTTTCTTGATTCTATAATTTTCCTTATTGGCATAAACTGACATGCTGGTAAATGTCAAATTCAGTTACGTTTTCCTTTTTTTTTGAGCAGATTATTGGAGAGAGCCAGTGTATTTTTCCTGTAAATGGTTAATGCAACTGAAAAGATTAAAACAAAATGCATAGACTCAGACACCTACAGGGCAATATATACATATAAGTACACAATAACTTACAAGAACATAAAGGAGCCTAGAACACACTGAAACATACCACTTTCAGACAAGTGAGTTACCTATTGGGAGTTTAACTCTTTCAATCCAAGCTAAGCAATGCAACTTTCTGCAGACCCTTTAGGTAGTAAATAGAATTAAAATTGACAGATGCAACTAGCACAGAACCCTTGAGGGTTTGTCCATGTAAAGTGCGTGGGATTGTGGTAGGCTTTTCATCTGTTGGTGCTTGCTCCCCAGTGTTCTGGACTAAACAGTTGTCTAACTCTTGTTATGGAAACTGTTACACTGTCACGTCCTGTTACATTCTGCAGATTATTTCTGTCTTGACTTCTCATATCCAGTGGTTTGGCTTCTGTTTTTCGGTATCCTGGGTTTTCTGGGTTTGTTCCTGGAATCCTTTAATTTTTTATTTTTTTTAATTTTTTTTGGCACACCTGTTCATTTTGCCATTTATCCTTTTTGTTTCAGTTATGGATGCACCGAAATTTTGGCCTATCCCATTTCAACCAAAAAATGGGCCAAATGTGCAGAAAATTACACCCTGTTACCCCCATACCTTTCAGGCCAGGCAATTCAACTCCTCGGATGACCTGTCCCAGCACTGGGTGACCACCCCACCAGACATCCCCGGCAGCCGCAACCTCTACTAGGGGTAGAAAACACCGGTCTGTGGTGGAGACGGCAGCCTGCCCCCGGCTGGCCTGGGGGAGGAGAGCAGCAGCAGTAGTGGGGGTGAGAGGGCTTAACATGGACAGCACATGTAGTTCTCCAGCACCTGTCGCTGCAGGTTCTACAACTCTCTTCAAGCTTTCTCACTAGTGATGTCCCGAACGGTTCGCCGCGGACTCCAATCAGCAGCAGACCCTCCCACCTCCTGGACAGCTCACTAAGAATGCAGCTTCAAAATGGATGCTGTCCAGGGGGAGGGAGGGTCTGCTGCTAATTGGCTGGAATGTGTCTGCCTACTGGAGTCTGTGGCGAACCGTTTGGGACATCACTATTTCTCACCTTTAGGCTCACAGAGCATCATGTCAGTTGCAGTTTTACAACAGCTTCCTCTTTGACCTAGTAATTCAGGGTTATCACTTAGCTGTGAATTGTGAGAAAGAGAAATTAAAAAGATTCTTATTTTAGGCCAAATTAGCCAAACTGAAAACAAGTGGTTGTTTTTTTTTTTGTTTTTTTTTTTGTTGTTATAGCCTAAAATCGGAAATTCACTGTAAGTTGCTAACAATTAAAAAGTCTAATAAAATTATAGAAAAAAAACCTAATTTTAAAATCATTAGGGGAAAAGTCGTTTTCAGTCACAGGCATCCTGAATTTTCGGTTTCGGCCCAGAATTTTCATTTCGGTGCATCCCTATTTAGCATTGACATAGACTATTTTGTCCATTACAGCTTTGGCTCCTTTAGAAAACTTGTCCCACTCGAACTCTCCAACTGGGCCATTCCTGACTCTCTGCTTCGCTCTTCTAACTGCTTCTACAAACCGTTTTATACACTCTGAACCACAGTCTAGACCCATCCATCCTGCTGGGATCCCAGTGGAGATGCTGGCATGTCCAGTGTTTGCATTCTCGGCAAACTTGTCAGCTGTTGTGAAGTTGACGAGCAGGGTGATCCTTACTCCATTCTTATCTGCTTTGGCCATCAGATCCTTTACAATCTTGGTTCCCTGATCATCATACAGTGAAGTGCCGATCTCCATATTGTTTCACACTTTGTAAAATGTGAAGGCCATCCCTCCTCCAATGATTTAGTTCACTTAATGCAACATGTGTTTGATCAGCTGAATCTTGTCTTTGTCCTTCGGCAATATCGGTATCAGCCAATTCAGATACCGATATTGCTGATAATATATAACAGGACCGCCAGGCTCATTACAAGCCCGGCGGTCCTGTTGGGTGCCCGCAGCAAGTGTTTACTTACCTTCCCAGCAGCTCCTCCCCCTCCCTGTGTAAATCTCGCGAGACTGGCTGGCTGTGAGATTTACACAGGGAGCTGGAGGAGCTGCTGGGAAGGTAAGTAAACGCTTGCTGCGGGCCCCCACTGCTCAGCCAAATCCCCCCCCCTCCCTGGCCAAGTAACAAGCAGGGAGGGGGGACTAAAAAAAAAAAAAATTCAATATACAAAATAAAAAAAAAATTATATATACACACTGCATTATTTATATACAGTGTATATAATGCAGTGTGTGTTTGTGTATTGTGTATATAAATGCAGTGTGTTTGTGTAATGCACACTACACAAACACACTGCAGTATATACACACACTTTGCATTTAGTATATACAGAATTCACTTTACGCACACTACCCACACACTGCATTCACTATACACACTACTCACACTCTGCATTCAATATATATATATATAATATTACACAAACACTGCATCCACTACACAAACACACAGCTCCCCTGTCTAAACACACTGCATCCACTACACATGGCATGTATATTTTGTGCATTTACCTTTAGAAATAGTTTTGTTTTGTTTTTTCAAAATGGTAAATGTACAGAATATCGGCAAGTTATCGGCTATCTGCCTGAAAGTTCACAGAATATCGGTATCTGGTCTAAAAAATCAATATTGGTCGATCCCTAGTATCAGATGAGGCTGGGGGCTGTTTTTTGAGACGTTGAAAGCCAATTTTCTGCGTACAGTTTAGAAAATATAGAAAATAATTTTAACTTATTTAAAAAAACTGATGCCTATACTTTCTTTACTACTAGTTATGTAATTGTTCTGCGCTATTAATTCATTAAAAGAAACTCTTTAAACCAAATGTTCAAACCATACTGTTTTTGTGATATTTTATTTAATAATAATAAAAAAAAACACTTTTTCATCGGGTGCCATGATTTTTTTTTATTTAAATTTTTTCAAACTATATAAAAACACTTTTGAATTGTGTATCATGGCGATACACTAATAGTTAATACAATGTTAAACAAAAATCTGCACAACAGTCCAGCAATAAGACTTTTTTTTTTAAACCTTTATTTTTCTTTGTTGTATGGTTTGTGTGGGTCTGTTTCCATCCTGTCCTGAATAATGTAACCACACAGCTTGCCAGAGGTCTATGTTGGATTCGTGTTGTGTAAACCAGCTGAGTTTCTGGTCAGACTGAAGGTCTTGTGTGCTTTCCCTGCGGCAAGGATGCATTAATACAATGCTGCTTTGTTCCATAACCTTGATTTCGTGTTTCTTGACTCCTAATGACGCCTTCACTCCCTGTCACTCATACTCTTTCACACCTTGGGTTTTATCTCAACACGCACCTCGACTTCACTTGCCCAGTCACCTCTGCTCACTTTCTCATCTTGCATCTTTAAATTGTCACGTGACTCTTAAAATTCATGCCATCACTCTTTCGGCTCATCAGTTGATTGCATGTTCAACTACCATTTTCATTTTCCCTGTGCCACATTCGCTTTGCCACATCATGTCAATCTTATTTGACATCAGTCTTGTTGTCCTATTTCTATAATGAATTAGCTAGCCTGGAATTTTGACCTTTTTTGTCATTTTGCTCAGTAAACTTTGTATATGGCAAAAGCGCTTTTTTTTTGCTTTAGTTATTTACATGGATGGACAAAACAAAGTTAGACTTGCATTACATACACACTTCAGCAAAACAAAAACTTGTGTAAATATTTTAATACTAAATTCATTCAGACATCAAGAGATGAATACAAGTTATCTTTAAGCACCTCTAGTAATGGCTGAGGTCAAAGTGGTTGCCCTTAGCGTCGAGACACTTATTAGAACGAAGAAATGCTGCTCTGGCAACGTTGCACAGTTTTCAGTGGGATTGCTGCACATGCAGATTTTAATTTCTTCCTAAAGAGCTGACTGTAGCTGGTTTTTCTGCAATATACGAGAGGTCAAAGGAAACTTCTGTTCATCTATTGATGTCTTAATTAATTTAAAATATTTACACAGATTTTTTTTTTTCCTAAAGGCGTGTACCTTTTTCTGCCTAGCTCTGTATATTATATATAATATTTAGGGATCGACCGATATTGATTTTTTAGAGCCGATACCGATACCGATATTCTGTGAACTTTCAGGCCGATAGCCGATATAATTTGCCGATATTCTGTACATTTACCATTTTGGAAAATAAAAACTATTTCTAAAGGTAAATGCACAAAATATACATGCCACGTGTAGTGGATGCAGTGTGACAGGGGAGCTGTGTGTGTGTGTAGTGGATGCAGTGTGTGTGTGTAGTGGATGCAGTGTGTGTCTTTGTGTAGTGTGTGTGTAGTGGATGCAGTGTGTGTCTTTGTGTAGTGTGTGTGTGTAGTGGATGCAGTGTGTGTCTTTGTGTAGTGTGTGTGTAGTGGATGCAGTGTGTGTCTTTGTGTAGTGTGTGTGTAGTGGATGCAGTGTGTGTTTGTGTAGTGTGTGGGTTGTGGATGCAGTGTGTGTTTGTGTAGTGTGTGTGGAGGATGCAATGTGTGTGTGTAGTGGATGCAGTGTGTATTTGTTTAGTGTGTGTAGTGGATGCAGTTTGTATTTGTTTAGTGTGTGTAGTGGATGCAGTGTGTATTAGTGTAGTGTGTATATAATGAAAGCAGAGTGTTTGTGTAGTGTGTGGGTAGTGTGCGTAAAGTGAATGCTGTATATACTAAATGCAAAGTGTGTGTATATAATGAATGCAGAGTGTGTGTATAGTGAATGTAGTGTGTGTATATAATGCAGTGTGTTTGTGTAGTGTGCATTATATAAACACACTACGCAAATACACTGCATTATATACACACACTATGCAAACACACTGCATTATATACACACACTACACATACAAACACTGCATTATATAAACACTACACAAACACACACACTGCATTATATACACACTGCACAAACACACACTGCACAAACACACACTGAATTATATAAACACACTACATTATATACACACACTACACAAATACACTGCATTATATACACACACTACACAAACACACACTGCATTATATACACAGTGTGTTTGTATAGTGTGTGTATATAATGCAGTGTATTTGTGTGCATTGTATACAAACACACACTATACAAACACACACTGCATTATATACACAGTGTGTTTGTGTAGTGTCTGTGTATATAATGGAGTGTGTGAGGGGGAATTTTTTATTAAATTATTTTTATATATATATATATTTAATTATTATTTTTTGTCCCCCCTCACTGCTTGTTGCCTGGCCAGGGAGGGGGGATATAGCAGTCCCTGGTGGTCCAGTGGTATTGGCTGAGCTTTGGGGGGGCGGAGAGCAAGCGCTTACTCACCTCCCAGCAGCTCCTCACGCTCCCCAGTGCAACTCTCGCGGCCAGCGTGTCGCGCGGAGCGTTGCCATGGTGATCCATGGCAACGCTCTGACGGCCGCGGGTCTCGCAAGAGTTGCACTGGGGAGCTGGAGGAGCTGCTGGGAGGTGAGTAAGCGCTTGCTCTCCGCCCCCCCAGGACCGCCGGGCTTGTAATGAGCCTTGCGGTCCTAGGAGGTATTATCGGCAATATCGGTATCTGAATTGGCCGATACCGATATTGCCGAAAATACCGAATATCGGCCGATTATATCGGTAAAACCGATAATCGGTCGATCCCTAATAATATTCCCCACATCCAGTTATTGTGTTCGACCATTAAGCAACAGATAGCGGTGAGAAAAACCTTTTCAGTTACATTTTAACCTTCACTTGGCAGACTCTGAAGTTCAAAGTTATGGCTTGCTAAGATTACCTGAGCACATGGTTTCCCCATTAAATTAAACATGTTCTTTCTTTTTCTTCATGTCTTTCAGCCATCTCAGTCTTCCACAATGAATCCTGTTTACAGCCCTGTACAACCTGGGGCTCCCTATGGAAATCCGAAAAATATGACCTATGCAGGTATGCCTTTTGTTCAAAACTTTTCAAAGCATGATTTGGGGTAGCAGCAGATGAATCTTAAAGTTAAAATGCCTTTTCACTAAATTGTGAACAAGGGAATTGCAAGTGAAAATTTGCATGACTGGTTCCCTTAACTGGCGTTGTTCCCCATATACTTTGAATACACCATATATCATAGAGATACATGGCATATTCAATGTAAAATATAGTTTTATTTACTTTTCCTCCTCTGCAACACCACCTTCTTCCAGCTTCTTGGGTGATACCTCCTATGTGAGATCTTTTCTGCTCTCCCTTTTCCGTCAATGTCTCTGCACTCCGAGTTGAGGTAGAGACCTACTAAACAAACAGCACATCTGTATGGAGCTTTTGTATTTTTATTTATAAAAACCAAAGTAAGTATAATCTTCTGTATTTACTTGAATCCAAAAGCACAGCTTTTTTGGAACATAAAGTTCCCAAAATTTGAATGTGCATTTGAGGCAAAATTAGAAATTTTCTGTCAAACTGCATGTTGGCAAATTCACACACTTTAATTAAAACTGGCAAATTAACACTGTCGAATTTCATTCTGGCGAATTCACACAAGCAAATTTCGTTCCTGAAAGAGGGTTTAAGAAAGAAGAATAGATTTAGGTTGAACACTAAAATTGAAATAATAAATAATGTTACTATGGTATATGGCAATTAATTTCATTGTAGCACAATGTTGTATAGTAGTATCTTCTTGTATAAATGTGCATTACATTTGCCAGCAAAAACATTTAAGCTTGCAGGTTTCAAAAGTTAAGGTGCGAATTAGATTTGA